TAGTCTCACTGAACTAAAGGTAAAGAGGAAGCTGTTGACCACCACATGACATCACAAGTTGGAAAGGAGCATTTTGGGCTTTGGACATGTAGACAGACTAATAATAAGGTGTTACTCAAACATGTATGAATGAAACAAAACACAACTCCAGGTCTATAATGCCCAGACGAAGACCATCTTGCTAGTCAAAGCGTGTTGGCGTCCCTTCATGTAATAAAGGACTTTTATTATATTCAGTCAGAGTGCCTCGGGTTTGTACCTTGCCCACTTTTACATTTTTCAGAAAGGGGAACTTTCTGTTAAGATTACTAGTTTAACCCTCGTAGAGCACCTGTATTGCTATTTTTCACTTTTTTATGACCCTGTGAAGCGCTCTACCTCTGTTCTTCAACTGATAACTCCAGGTATGTTTTTGACGAGGTAAGAACATTAAAGAATTTAAAGAATTACGACTCAAAATGTCAAGAATTAGTAGAAAAAATACTAAAGAAATAAACTGTATTTAATCTTGGTTATGATGTTCTAAACAAGGCATATCACCCTATTCAAAATGCAAGTTCCATAGAAGGATTTAGCAGAGTACAATTTAATAACGTTGTATTATATTTTCTTCTGAATCGCTATTACGTACCAAAGTGATAACAAGATTGCACTGTCATTCTGTTATTATTGGTAGGAAATTGAGCAATCACATGAATTTGTGTATTTTTCATATTTGATAACTATTTTTCACAATAATCTTTGAACAGCTGCAAATCTTAAAACCATTACTTACTTCAATATTATAAATGCATCCATTATACTAATCTGCTTTATTCAGATTTTTTTTTTTTTTTCTGCACTAAGACCTGCACATATCATTTTCTCCTTCTGCCAAGGACAAGCGAGATTTACCTTGACTTCACAACATTGCACAACGCCTAAAGAAACACAACCCGTAAAACACCGTCTTGAATCTGAGCTACAACATCACATGACTATCAAGCTCCATAGAACCAATCACAGAAGCAATTTTCAATGTAGATAACTATCTCCCGACATGGCAACACACAAATTAAGGCACAGAAGGCTTGTCACTTGAGATTGTGAAGTGATGTGAAGATTCTCTACTGTCACTTAACAAAAAAAAAAAAAAAAAAAAAAAGAAAACACTTCATTGCATCTGATAGGGTGAAAAGAAACAGCACTCAGAGAGGAGAGCATCACAGTTGTAATTAGGACTTCTGGCACGTTGATTGTGGAAATGAGATAGAAGAACATTTGATAAGAAATAGTTTGATTAAATTGTTCGAATAAGATCAGTGTCTCGATGGTAAATTCAGTTTTTGTGTTGGATTCACAGACTGTATAAAGAAGTGGACCAAGGGAGTGCGACGTCACCCTTAGTGTTCGGTTCCAGTCAAATGAAGCTAATGGAGGCCGGCAGTTATAGACGAATTTGGAGCTGAGTTGAAGCAACCTTGGCAAAAGAAGGCACCCGATTAGTCTGTTGTTCATATTTTGATTTACGGAGAAAATAGTGAAATAAAAACACCAGGATCATGTAGAGCAGGTTAATACAAACTAGGGCTGTCGCGGGAACTTCTCCTGCAGTGTGGTATAGGAGCTCAACACCGCAGTATGCTGTGATACTGCACCCCCTCCCCCACCCCCCATCCCCTGGAGTTACAATATTTCCAATGGCACTGAAAACTCTCTCCAATGATGTACTTGTTGCACAGATTCATTGGTTGCCGTATGAATATAGTGCGTAGCGTGGGAGAAATAATATTTGGCTTTGGGACAGGTGCCTCTGCACCAGGTTGGGTACCCACGGACTTAACAGAGAAAGAACCAGGAGCACGTGGAGCAATGGCCACATTTACCTCCGTGCGGTATGGAGTTCTATGCTGGTCCTTTCGCCTACGATCACGCGACGGTCTACGCGGGCACACCTTAGTTCTGAGTTAGTCCTGGGTTACTCTTATGTTAGTCCTGGGTTATCACAGGTCTCTAAAAATGGCCCCGTGCAGGAATCTGGGTCGGGTCACGTTGGTCACGTGTGGTGATCGCGGTGGGCCTCTTAGTACCGCGGTGATTCATTTTTGCGGTTATTGCGACAGCCCTAATACGAACATTTTAAGACTGAAATGATGAGACTGACAACAGCAGTTAGAGTAAAAGAGGCAACAGTTTTTCAATACTAAGTAAAGTCGATGGAACCGAAAGCACACCTATGCTCCTTTCTTAAATGAATCACCTGTCCTCGTCTGTTTATATCACTTAACTAACTTTATGCCATTTTTATTACATCTACAATTCTTATCTTTGGTCTTCTTTTTCGCTTCTTTCCTACAAGCTCAAACCAGCGTCCTTCTGCCAATATTTTTCTCATACACGTGATAACCATCTCAGTCTGGACACTTTCCTTCCTTCATGCCAACCTTATTGTCTTTGGAGAGAAATGTATACTTTGTCTTAGCCCTGCCACTGTAATTACTATATCAGCTTATATTATGCATTTTTCTGATTTATTTTATGTTCTATTATGTTTCCTCACCAAAAACATACCAGCAGTTATGTATTCTTTTATTCACAAAAATCCTGAAAACAGAGGATGCAGACAGACAAATAATGCTGGACTACTCAGAACATATGTGAATGAAACTAAACACAACTCCAGGTATGTTTTTGATGAGGAAACAACATTCTAAGAAGCTCACAACAGTCATTTTTTTAAACATAGGACCTTTAAAATGAGAGATGGAACGAGTCAATATTTCTTGAAGATGTTTTTTCCATCTGAGTAACTTTTTGTTGTTTTTCTTTACAACAATAAGATTTGAGCTGCCGAGGCTTGAATCAATAACTTCAGTGCATCATTATAGGCTAGATACATACTACGAAAGGGTTTTATTCTGCTGTTTTTTAATTGTGGCTCATGTTTTAATCATATTGTATGTTAAGAATTGTTTATTTGGGATGTTGTCAGTGGCATAAATTGCTTTCAACGTTATCTTTTATTGTCTCCATTTTCTTCAGCAAAATATCATCCTTCATTTCCTCTGCGGCAGCCTGTCAAAAGCATGGAGCACTTGGAAAAAGTAATTAGAAAAAGTACTTGGAGTACTTAGAAAATTAAGCATTTTGTGCATTTGTAGCAATGGGGATAAAAAGACTGAGATAGCATTAAAGGGAAAAGAGTTAGCAATGTTTTCTGCTTAATTCCCTGTGATTTCTGAGTTTATTTTATTTCACAGGGACCATGTACAGGAGAATCAATCAATGAATCAATGAAGAGATGCTTTGTACCAGTCTACAGCTCTCAGAACTCATTTCCATTTGCAGTCCCCGAGACATACAAAACATAGAATACACGAATAACATAAAACAATGCAATCTGTATACAAGTAGTGATACAAAAGTTACATTAAAGGTGCATTGTGTAACTTTTCAGGTGGAGGGTCCATCAGATGCTTTTCTCCATGGAAATGTTATTGTTTTGTCTGGAATCTTTCACTGTATGACATTAAACGGCTCTTCCTTACATTCATTTCTATCTTCATGGAATCCAAATCAGACCAAATTACAGTTCAAGATTTGTGGAGAAGCAACCCTGCTCACAGTCAGAATGCCTGTTTTTCTATGTACTTTTGAGCTATAAAACCACCAGTAATTGAATAAATGGAAGGTAGAGCTGTTTAATGTCATACTGTGGAAGAGCAATGACATCTCCATAGATACAAGAAGGTGATAGACCCCCAACCAAAAAGTTAAACAGTGTACCTTTAATATTGGCACTTCTGTGTTGTTAAAACATTTTCTTAAATCTACACTAAACTTTTTGAAATCTTGTTGTTCTGGCCATGTGTTCAGAGACAAACCTTTTGACTGGTCGACGGGCCATATTGATCTTGTGGTGCATATTTTCCCAGAGTCTTGGTGGGATTTTACTGGGTAGCAAAGGAGAAATTCAATTTGTCAACTGGACAAAAGTTTTTTTTTGGTTGAATTTGTTTCGCAGCCCATCCAAGCTGCTTCAGTTTCTCTGAACTGAAGAACGGCATTTTTCCAGGCACTGCAGTGATTTCATCGAATTGTTCTTACAGATTTACTCGCAACACTGAAGGCTGGATCAACAGAAAAAATCTCTTAAATTCACCTGTAATCCTGTTAATCCTTATTTCTCTGCACAATTTAGGATAGAATAGACTATCTTTATTGTGTAAGGAGGTAGAAAGTCATCTTTGGCTCACCCATAGACTGTATAAAGAAGTAGACTTAGGGAGTGTGATGACACCCATAGCGTTCACCTCCAGTCAAAAGAAGCTCATCGAGGCCTGCAGTTATAGGAGCAAATTCTGGAGCCGAGTTCCATAGTAGGAATAGGAATTGCTTTAAGGCCAAAATCGTGAAAAATAAAAACACCAGGATCATGCAGAGCGGGTTAATATGAACATTTTCCATTATGGAGAGAGAGGTGATGTTTTTTTTTTTTTCAATACAAAGTGAATTGAAGAGTCAATGGAATGCGCACCCATACTCACTTCCTATTTGGAACGTGGCTAGTGTGTTAGCTGTGTCTGTTTATATATATATAGTCTATGGCCTCACCAGATCAAAAAAAAAAAAAAAACAGCACAAGGACAACATGAATGAAAGTAGCAGTAGCCTTGGTGAAATACATTAAAGACATTATAAACAAAAAACAAAACACAGTTCATTTTTGTGGCTAAAGTGTTTCTGTTTTTCAGTGTAATTCATTTTTCTCTTATTGAGACATGTCTTCCTGTGCTGTATTACGAAGTGTACTCCTCGTCCTTTTTCATTATGACCCCAACCACCAACCAGCACAAAGGTAAAAAATAGAATCCCTGATTGACAAGCGAATTAGATGCAAGTAATTGAAAGAAGATTAGTACAGAAGGCAAAAAAAAAACTGAGAGCAGGTGAGGTTGGAGCACAGTAGAATAACGGCCATGAGATTTGAACCGTAGTTGACAGTACCCGAGGCAACTCACCCTTGGAATATTTTTTCTCCAAACCAGTCTCCTCTGGCCAGGCTACGGACGTACACTGCTTCTCCACCCACCCGCTCAAACCTGGTCACGTCAGCCTGGAAAAGGAAAACAAACAAGAGATTATGTACCAAAAAACGTATCAATGTCATGGGGGTGTGATGCTAACTGAAGGCACTACTCTGTCAGAAGCTCTATTAGACTTTAAACACAATCTGACCTGAAAGAGCTGACTTAGTTGGAACTACAGCAGATGAACTGTTTTGTCCTGTTGAACAATTTTTCACACATAAAATAACAGTTAAAATCTAGCATTAGCCAACAGTTTTGCAGTTAGTCACTCTCACCTTTCTGCTGAAAATCAAACACCTAAACAGGACCATGAACGGCTTGTGAAAATGTGTTGTTTAAATCCATTTTTTCTTTGGTTTTCAGACTGTTTTAAAACTTTTGTCCCAGTGTTTGCTAATGTGTGCATTTACCACACAAACCCTTCAAGTATTTCTCTTAAACAGAAAACATTCTTCTCCACTTTGTGATGTGATGCAGTAATACAGGAAATGCTTCACTGCTTTTAAACTCCAAACACCTTCACCAGAATCATTTGGATTGTTTCTGACCTGGAATAAAAAGTGAAAAGTAGCTGTTAACTTGAAAAATCGCTTCATGACATCACAAGGTGGAACAGAGGACTTTGAGCTTTGGAGACGTAGATAGACTAATAATAAATGTGTGAATGAAATAAAATATTAACTCCAGGTATGTTTTTGATGAGGTTACAATATTATAACATGGCTTGAAGCTCACAAGAATCCATTTCAAGTAATATTGGATGTTTTATTTCGCTTCTAAAATTTTCACAGTTATATTTTTACGATTACATTGTAACTTGAACAATCACTACTGTTAATTAACCTTATAATTTGACATCCCTGGTACATTTATATATTCACATACATACCAGGAGCTAAGGCCTTCCAGTCTTAGCACCACTCCATCTTTCCCTCAAATTGCTGTGTACGTCTTCATAAACTAGCAATTTCCCAAAGCTTATAGAGACACTGGGAAAGCATATGCTGTGACGGACTGTGCCTCTCCTCCCATCCCCGCTGGAACAGGTGTCTTCCCCGTGAGTGAACAGGCATCCAGGCAGCAGAGCCCACTTCATTAGCCCAGTGACGTTTGAGTGATGGAGGTCTGTCTCTCCAGCAGGATCCACACACCACTCAAACATAGCACAGGTTTGTTCCAAGCAAGAGATCATTAGAGTAAATTGTAAGACTTTTAACTGATTGTGCATGTGCTATAACGTTAAAAATAAAATGCCCTAGTTTAATATTATTAGATGCATTTTAAGGGTTTATTTGCAGGTGTTTTTTTGTTTTTTTGTTGCCAGTTGCCAGTCACAAATCAAAATTGACTTGTGAGCTTTAAGCCATGTTATCATGTTACGTGATCAAAAACATCTCTGGAGTTGTGTTTTGATCATTCACATGCTTGAGAATCAATTTAATATTAGTCTGTCTACTTCTTCAACTCTCAAAAGGCTCTATTCCAGCTGCTACAGTTTATGTTTAGTTAAGTAGAGACTGGCAGTCGGAAGGTTGAAATCATCTAAATTATTCTAGTGAAGGTGACTTTAAAAACACAGTGGAGCACTTCCTGTATTACCACCTTACCTCTCAAGGTGCAATAGAGTGATTTTAGTTTGGGAGAATAACTCAGCCTAAATATGCAGGATTTGTGTGTTAAACATGTGTGAATGAAATAAAACACCACCCCAGGTATGTCTGTAATTATTTATAAATTATAACTAGGGCCCGACCATTATATTGGTATAGGCACTTGGAGACATATCGGCTATCGGCCTACATCTTGCCGATATGGGGTAATAGTCCATGTGGGCATGTTATACCTCGTTATAAAGCTTAGATTCTCTATCCAATGTACATACAGATAAATGTCCAAACGTGGCGCCTGCGGAGTAATTTCTCTGTGTCCCGAGAGCCGTATTGCCCTTGAATATACCCCAAGACTCACGTCACTCACATGCACTTGTTTACACATGCAGCTGCTGTTAACATGCTGGATTATATTAAATTTACGGATGATTGTTTTGAGTCAGGATTGAAAGGACACTTATTTGTGAAGACTTGTGATGTCTGTGTGAGTGTTGCAAATGTGTCGGTTTTGGAGCTACTTTTGGTTCTTTCTCATTGTTTAGCTCTTAGTTGTTAGCTGTAGCTCCCACACATAAACAGGCCTGTTTTCTCTTCCATTGGCCTACTGTAAAGTGACTATACACATGTTACTGGACCAGCATTGATATGTAAATGATCTGTGAATAGAGATGCGAATGATCTGCATTTACACATAATTAATTACCACAGCTCGCACACATTTACCACTTAAGGCTGATAGCGATACTTTACTTACTTTCTTTACTGGCTAGAATGTCATGCAAAAATGCCATGCCCTTATGCTGACCTGTCTTTAAATATGACTGTAAAAAGGCAGAATAACAATAAATGTAGCCTAAATAAACCCAATATACAATCCAGTAGAGCCAGATCTAAGTTTTATAATTAATGGAAGATTTATAGTTAATTTTTACATCTCTAAATATATTCAGATTTTTTCGGTATCATATCAGCTGCAAAAAAATCCATATCGGTCAGGTCCTAATTATAACATACATCAGAAAATGGTATAATATGGGCCCTTTAAAGCAAAGTTCCGTTTTTTTTCTTTTTCCCCACTGTGTCTGTGTTAAATATATTTCCCTTTAGCAGACATTCTTCTCTTCACCCCTGGTACTGGTTGCGCAGGTCTCAGGTGGCAGGTATGAAAAGGGTCTGATCTGTAGTCTGTGGCGTGCAGCCAGAAGGGCCAGAAGTCCTAAAGAAAACGGTGCTGTGGGTGAGCTGGACACCGAGCCGAGCGTGTGAAAACAGCTGGGGCAAAACTCCAAAGATCAGGTGTGTATATGTGGGTGTGTGTGTGCCACTGCCTTCAAGTCCACTAATGGATGTATCTCTGCACCCCACATGTCCTGCTGGCTCATTTAAAGACAAAATATATGAAATGGAATGATCTCCACTTTGCTTGAGATGATGTAAAAATACTCATATGGTAAATAGGTCTGTCATGATCATTCCTTTCTACAATTTAATATACATTCAGAAGACATCAAATATATGAAGTAAGACACATGGAATTATGTATAAAAGAAAATAAGTTAAATATCTCTTTATTTGCTACATACTTCCATATATCTTCATTGTTTTACGGTAATATTCAAGATGTAGAGACTCAAATAAGTACTTTCTATGATTATTTATAAAAACTACGGATGAACACAGCTGCAGAGGGTTTATTAAAGAGGTTATTATATGTGTTGCATATATGTACGTGTTGCAAATAACTTCCCACTACAAAATATTGACCGACGTGTAATTGATTCCTGCTCATTTAAATAGCAACTGAAAAATGTCCACCGTTTTCTTCCTGACGTCAGTATTGAGTCTTGGCCTTGCTGTTGCTGCGGTTACATAACATTTGAATAGAATCAGGCTTTTGAGTTCCACTTGTGTCAAACGATTAAGTACTATTGACTTTATTGAGGAAGCTGCCAAGGGCGACTCAGCAACAAAAAAGTTACACAAAAAGCTGTTTTCAAGCCATACAGAGAAGGCTGGATTGTCGGCGCACACGGTCACTGGCCATTTGACAAAAATCAGCATACTTAATAATATTTTAGTTTTTTTTTGAGTTCTACATTTAAATGAATGAGATTCTCAATTGGGCCCATAATACCAGTGGTGGAAGTAGTAATGTACTATACTTAAAAACAAATTAGGTATCTACACTTACACATTACTAAATTTTAAAGTTGATAGTTTTTACTTTAACTTCACTATATTTACTTTTGAATTCAAGCTTTGGCTTTCAGTAATGACACATAAATAAACAAAATACGTAGTAAAATTAGACTGATTGATTGATTGATTTGTATTGACACTGGTAACACTGCATCATTTTAATCAATATCACCACATTTAACATTTGAACAACACTTTACCAAAATCTGTGTGAAATACTTTTACTTTTTACTCTTTAAGTACCTTTTAAAACAAGTACTTAAATACTTTTACTTAAGTGTATTTTTTTCCTATCATATTTTTACTTGAGCAACTCTTTGCATCTGTCTGTACTTTTACTTAAGTAACAAAACCGAGTACTTCATCCAATACCGTATAACACACACAGATTGCCCTGGGCACTTGGTCACTTTGAAATCCAATGGCTCATTTACTCTAAGCTGCATCTCAGTTCAGCAGCAAGAGAAAGAGATTTTTTTTAAAAACTACAAAAAAAACCCCACTTTGCTCATGGAACATTTGCCCTAATTTTCCGGCACGGACATCTGAAGAAAGAGATACGCACATAATACATTTAGATTAAGGAATAAAAAAGATAATAAAAATATGATTAAATAATTTGAAAATCAACCCACTTATAACGCACTGAAGCATGTCCAAAGAGCACAACCTATCTGCTTTGTGACCGCTGTATTTGTACAAATTAGTGTCTAGAAGGAAGACATGATTATAGCATTTGAACACTGAGAGCCAAAGAAAACACAATTTATTCCCATTGTGCTCACAAGAGACCTATGATTTTCTTCAAGCATTCTTGGTTTTTTAGAATACAAAACGGAAAAATGGAACAAAATAAGGTCAAATATTTTTATGCAATAATTTTTTCATCATCCTGGGTTGAGATTCTGAGTGTGTACTGTTTGGTAGGGTGATTTTATTGATTTTGTAAGTTTTACTTTCTGTAACACCAAATCATTTCCCGTGTGGATCAATAACGTTTGTCTAAGTCCAAGTCTAGAATGCCTTTATGACCAGAAAGATAAAAAGAAGAAACAAAAGCCGTCCTTGTCCCACTGTAAAGAGGTGACATGAACGCTGCTTGATTCCTCTTCTCAAGAATACTGATGCCAGAGCTACATCCTTTTCCACACCTCTCTACGTAGAATCTGTTTGCGGATAAATGCACGGTAAACAAGTTGTAACCGGCTGCGATTACATGCACATTAAGACATGTTATAAGATATTTTAACAGCAAAATCATCTCATTTCTTTGTGATCATGGTCCTTCTAACTTGTGTTTTTCATGCAATATAAATCTTAAAGGTCCAGATCAGATAATATTCATATTTTAGTCTGCATAAAAACAAAGCTACTGTTGTGAGGCTTGTGTATGTGTATTTTATATTTTAGTTTGCACTTTATTTTTGTTTTTCACAGTTGTGCAGAGACAATCATCCACACAATTGACATTTTGGTTCCTGCTAAGACAAGACTCATAGCCCATCGTGTTTGTGGAAGCAGTTAGTGTGAATGTGTGATTTGGTAGACTAACCACGCTTCAGTCCAGTAGAGTGCAGTTAAAGAGTGACTGAATACTGTTGGAAAATGGACTTTAAGCACTTATGATGGGTCAGACTACTCATCTTAAAACACAGTTAAGATACTTGGAAGAACATTCACACTCGATTTCCCAATTTAGCCATTTTTTTCTTTTAAAATTTTATTTCCTAGTTGGAAATTGTGGGAATTCCATAACTGTTCCCTAACAAAACTCCCTTTAAAATACACAGAAATTATAATCTGACAAATTGAAATATAAGAAAACACCTTTATTTTGTTGAAATCATGTTTAAAGTATGAGAAAAAAAATGTGTTTCTTGTGTAAAAATTTTGTCAAACTTGGACAAAATTCTAACACGATGCCATTGATATGTTTAATTTTCCACATATTTTTCTACTTTTCTTGTGAAACTGCTTCTCGATTTGGATAAAACTATAATTTGTACTTACAACAAATTAAATCAAAATTAGAGAATCATAAAATCTGTAATGCGCATTTTAAATAGCAAATTTGAACATTCATTATTAGAGAATTGCACTTGTATGACTGTAAAGCCTTATTTTTACCCAAGCAGCCCCCATTGAAACACGATGAACAATGCAATATTTGTAACATTATGGGGGGAAAATAGGTAGTTTATTCTGACGGATGGTGGGGGATTATTTTGTTGACAGACTCACCTTTCCTTTGGTGAAGATAAAGAAGGTGTCTCCTCTGGCCCCCTGTCGGATGATGTACTCTCCCTCTTCGTAAGTCGTCTGTTGGAGAAAAAGAACAGAAGAGCAGCAAAGGTCACTCCACTATCACAGCGGGACAGAGCTCCTTGTAAGGATACTCAGGAAGCATTTTGCATTTTGCTTAGGGACCATTCCAGCTTTTTCAGTTCTGATTCTGACACTATAGTTGTAAGCATCTGTCAATACCCCGCTGATCTTACTGTTGTGTAGCTGTTATTTATCTCATAAATTACTACAGAACAACTTTGTATAAATAAAAGTTCAATCATTCTGACACTTTCTGGGCCAACTACAACCAGGAAATTATCTTATTACATCATTGTATCTGTCCAACCACACTGTAAACCCAAATTTTCTTTTACATATTAAGCCATGCTAATATTACTAATCTTTTTAATATTTTGCAAAAGGCGGGACCATTACTAAACAAAGTGTGAATTGTAAACTATTTTAAACTAGTATTTGCTGTACTAATGGCTCTGAGTGGAGACGGCTCACACTTGTATGTTTTTACCGGTGAAGGGAGGGGCTTGGCACCTGAACACTCCCAAACTGCACCAAACCACATTTGACTTCTGCTCGGACTGTTGGCTGCAATTCAGCGTCAGTCTGCTTTATCATCATATGGTAAGTGAATAAATATGGTTTATGTTCCCGTGAGACTGAATAGTTGGTGACATTGGTTGACGCTTACAGCCAAATAAGGCTAAAGTGAAGTTCACTTGTGGTCACGATGCGCTCGCTATCATGTTAGCCGCTAACAGAGAACAGCTAATGTTAACAGTTAACGGTGTCTGAGCCGGTACTACCGGCATCTTTACCGGCCCGGTAGAGATGCGCGGAGGGCGGACTCCGCGGCTAAACCGCGGCTCGGGCGGATGACGCGACGAAAAATACTATTTTAATCAAATTCGGGCGGGTGGCGGTTTAACGACGCATGGACCCATAGAACTCCTCACGGGCGCCGTGTCGTCTCACGTACACCGTGTGCACCGCGCCTTTTTTTTAATCGAGACTCGTTTTCGTTGTTTGCTATATGATTGTTCTAAAATCTAAAATCGTGGGTGCAAATGGAGAGTTTGGAGTTCAAGTTTTTAGATTATCACCACAAAATTGCATAAAAGCTTTGGTTGGAATTAAACACTAAAACATATTTTCTGTTTTACAGGTGACTACCCAACATGCTGTGGAGCTGTAAATACTGTGAGTTCAGCTGTGATAAGAGAAGTTACTACCTCAGACACTACAGAACACTAATTTCTTTCTTTTTTATTTATTTATTTTTTTTTAGATTTGTCTGGAATTCAAAAGGATTGTGGGAAAAGACCTGCACCAGGAATTTTATTCTACCCTTGATAACCACACTACCCATTTTATTGAAAGTTTTAAAGCTAAGAGGGGCAACGTGGGTGACAGTTGGCACAGCTTTTGCAGCAAATACAGGTAAAACTTTTGTAACCCGGATAAAAATACATGTGCAGTAAAAGCATAAGTTCATAACATAGTTAATCTAAAATGGATAAAAAGATAATTCATTTTTATTAAAATACATAGTTCATGTTAATGCTTAAATGTATATTTACAAAAGTGTTTGCGTCTCTGTATATTTCTTGTAATTTATCATACAGTATCCATTTTCTGTCTTACAGTCACTGGATTCTACTGAAAAAAGGACAGTCACACTAAGAGGTCTTCCTTACTTACTCGGAGACAGTCCCAACCGAATTCTTCAAATCTAGCTTTGTAAGTGTACATTTTGTTTGTAATGTGAAACTTTTAGAATGTGACATTTATTGTATAATTTGAATATGCCAAAACTGACAAGTAGTCTATACATTACGAGCTTCAGCCATTCCATGAATATTATTTATCTTAAAGTCAGATTATTATTGATTTTCAAATATTTGTTTGAACATTTATCAGTTATCATGTCAGCATAAATTGAATTTCATACAATTTATGTTTTGTCATTCTTATTGAGTCTGTTCTAGTTCAGTAATTTCATTCACTAATGGTTATGTTTCTGGCATTAATGTTTTTGTTTTTCTTTAGGATGGTGATGAATCCTTTCGCCAAATGGACATTGGGATCTTGTTAGTAAATCTGAAGGTGTCTCTCTTCCAACACCAGATCTTCACCCAGCAAGCCTGAAAATCATCATTCAGGGTGAAATTGTTATGGACAAGCTGATGACCCTTATAACCCCTTGTTTGAATTGTGAAATGTAAAACCCAAAAGCAAATGCTGTTACAGGGAACAAACAGAAGACTGCAGTTTATTCAGGTTTAAGCATGTTATTATTGCACTATTTTTGCAATAAATTTGTGAGAAAAAAATTGTCATTTTATGTCAATTATTAAAAAAATAATATGATGTATAATTTGCATGTAATTATTATAATTAATAAACATATTCAATAAATACTCATAAATATCAGAAATACATACTGATAAAAATAAGTAATGATTACTGTAATACACAAGTAATGGTTAGTTAATTACTTGTAAACATTCGTTTTAGAAACTTAAGTTCTTTAGTAATGGGTTATCTTGGACAGAAGATTTTATGTAAACAGAGCTTGATTTGTTTAGTTTTTGATATTGTAAAAACTAGACATCCCAGTGCAATCACTTACCACGCGCGGTTTTAGTAATGATTACTAATTTGGGTTTACAGTGCAGGATATCAACTGAATTGATATTTGGAAGCCGATGTCCGATCCAGCAAATTTTTCAGTATCAGCGGCAATACATGATACCAGTATCAGATCAGAATTTTACTCCTACTTAAAAGTGGGCGATGTATCAAAAAATTAACAGTTGTAGTTAGACCTGTCACCATAATAAATTTGAATATATTGCTGAAGGAAATTTAGACAATAAACAATAATACTGAAAATAATTTATGCCACTGACACAATAACCCTTAACTCCAAAAGCGCTAGTGTAAATGTGAAATATTGTAAGCAAATTTGAGCTACAATAACACAGCAGAACGAGACACATTAGTACTTAGTTTGAAAATAACAGAGAAATAATAAAAGGTTTTCCACCCGTCCAAAGAAAAAGTACCAATGATAAATATTGACCCCCAAAAAATCAATAGCAGATACAGATTGTTCCATCTGTCAGGTATTGAACGATGAGTCAATACAGTAACTATCATGAGGGGCCTGGTTGTGGTTTTGGAGAGTAAAATTAGTGTTTATAATTAAAAGTAACGTGACAGGAACCTCTACTCTAGTCTTGCAGTCTTTCAAACAAGTGCAACAAAAATACATATCATTAAATATTTATATACTGTCAGATTTGTGGGTAACACATTTTTAGATAACACTTTTCTCTGAAAGTTGTTTAGCTGATAAATGCAAGAGGATGGACTGCTAGCTTTAAAGGTACACTGTGTAACTTTTCTGGTGGAGGACTCGTCTCCTGCTTCTTCATGGAGATGTTGCCTGGAATGTTCCACAGTATGGCATTAAGGCAGTAAAGTTTTTAAGTCAATAAAAACCGATGTTACTGAGAAAATGCTAAATAGATAGATTTAATGCCATACTGAAACATTCCAGAGAAAGCAACAACATCTCCATGGAGACAAGCAGGTGACCCTCTACTAGAAAAAATGCACAGTGCACCTTGAACTGTCCTTTCTAGGTTGCTGTGTTTGTTTCTTTTTTGCCGAACAGTGAATTCCTTGGGATCAATAAAGTATCCATTCATCCATCTATCCGACTATCCATCTATCCATCTAGACATATATCCATTTATCTATCTATAGGCTTTTCAATACAGTCTCCCTTTCCTTCAGCAGATATAGAACTTTCATCGTCTTCTTTCCTGGCATCTAAGGTGACCTTGGTTTTGAATAAGTCTAAGGATCCTGATGGATAAATTAACATTCCCCATTTAAACTGAAAGGATTCATAGATTTCTAATTGAGTTAGAACATTGCGTCCACACAGCGGTATGTTTTTGTATACCTTAATCCTATTCAGGGACACACTCCTATACAAGAGGAATGCCCGGTCAAACATACACTGCATACCATATAGGCCAGTGTTGACTTGTATTGACTATATCTCAAGGTTAGGTTATGTAATATGAAAGGAAATATCCACAGTGACACTGCTTTCTCAATGACAAAGACGGTGCAAAGCAAATAGTAGTGTTTTCTTAAGAGGGTGACTTTATATTAAGACACTGTTGGCAAATGTCCTTCTATTTCAAATGTGTTCCTTTTTCCAGATTCTACTTGTATATGTTGATCAACCATAATTTTCTCTCATATTTTCAAATTCTAATAATATATTTCCACTTATGTTATGTTCTTTTATTTTATTTTATTTTTTATTTTGTTCAACAGAGTGGTTGGCTGCTCTTGTGGCTACGTGGCTCATACACTGAGCAGTTTTTGGAAATGTTTTGTGTTCTGAGCTCAGTTTTTAACATCATATCATGTAATTTTAATCAGCTAAGAAGTGCAGTTCAAAGGGCACAAGTAAGGGACTGTTGGATTTTGTGAAATGAGCTGTTTGTTTTTCCCACATCCATGGAGACAAGGAGCTAGCTATGGACATTTGAGACGCTACAGGCTTTTTGCACCATATGTGGTAGCAAATGTGGCATAAGACCATCAGAGGAAATACTTTTGTTTTAGTGTATTGTCATTGTCAACTGTCAACTTTCTAGTGGGGGTCCACTACAATGAGATGTTATTGCTTTGCTTGGAATGTTCCTCACTATGGCATTAAATGTAATTATCTCTCATTATTATTCCTGAGAAAGATGCCTTGGAACAAATGTATTCTTACTGTCAGTGCAATTCCCGGTTTACAGATCTGACTTGTATCTTGGCCTAGTAGTCACGCCTTGTTTGTTTCCATGTAAATAGATATGTTTAATGTCATACTGTGGAACATTCCAGGCATAGCAATAACATCTACATGTAAACCAGCAGATGAGAGACCCTCCACCAGAAAATACTAATAAGACATTTTATTTATAAGTGCTTTTCTAACACTCAAGGTGACTTAACAAGGCATAAACACAGTAAAAACAACACCAGTACAACTAAAAAACAATATACAGCGTTAAGATAATCTAATCTAAAATGGTGGGTTTTGAGGTAGGACTTAATTTGGGGCAGAGAGATCATTTAGAAAAGTTACACAGTGCACCTTCTTGTTTCCATGGAAATGTTATTGCTTTATCTAGACTAATCCACAGTATAGATTAAACCTATTTATCACGAGGGAGACAGGCACTACGCTACATTAACTTAACAAGCCATAGAAACAGCCGAATGAGTAAATGCTGGATGGAAATGTTTAAAGTCATACTATGGAACATTCCAGGAAAAGCAGTAATATCTCCATGAAGAAGTAGGTAGCAGACCCTCTACTAGAAAAGTTGCGCAGTGCACCTTTAACTTGACTTTTTTTGTTTGTTTGTTTGTTTTTAACTTCAATTTCAACATTAACCTTATTTTTGCACATGCTCATCCATTTAAGCATACCCAACCATTTTGGCAAAGACATAATCTCCCATATTTATTTCCTCTGCTTCAAAAGATTGTAGAACATTGCATTATTTTTCTACCTACTTGGAGACAAAGCTTGCTATTTCTAGTCCGAAGGATCTTTCCACAAAAGGATGCTTTGACATTTGCCAGGTGCATGTATTGTGACTGCGCCTAAGCCAGGATTGTAGCTGTATTGTACCCTGAACACCACACGGAGCTAACACCACATGATTCACATCTGTTGTGCGTCACTCCGAAGACACTGGTCAAACGTTGTGTAATAATAATTATACATACATGTCGACAAGCCAGTGTGCGTTATAAACCTGAGTCAGGACCTATGGATTTATGATATGTGTTAGCAGTGTTTCCCACAGAAAATTGGTTAGGCAAGGCGGTGCTGTCAAAAAGGTGAGGGGTGGGGTAGTCAAGGCGGGGGCCACTTGTTGTCAAGGCCGCCTTAACTATAAAGTGCTGCAGGAAACACTGGTTAAAATTTTGTTTCTTCCTCAGAAACATACCTGGAGTTATGTTTTGTTTCATTCACACATGTTTAACACAGAAATCCTGCATATTTAGAATGAGTTCATCTTTCAAACAGAAAAAAAAACTTGTCATGTGATGTTTTGATGTCATGTGGTAATACAGAAAGTGGTCTACTGTGTTTTTAAACTCCATACTCCTTTATTTCAGCCCTGGCGTTGCTCATTTCTACTGAACAAAAGGTTGCTGTTATCTTGAAAACTAAGCACTTCATGACATCATAAGATGGAACAGAGCAAAAATTCTGCCTAAATATGCAAGGTTTGTATATTAATCATGTGTAAATGAAACACAACACAACTCTAGGTATGTTTTAGACGAGGAAACATTATATCATAGATGTTATAATGTTATCATGTTAATGCCATACTGTGAAACAATAACATTTCCACAGAGACATGTTTTCTTTTTATTCCTCGTATTTCTTTTCTGCATCTGACTTTTTGCTGCTAGCATCATCTTGCCTTGATTTTTGCACCGCTCTTATACCTTCTTCTTGCTTTTTCTACTTTCTCAAACATTCTATTTGTGCCAGTGAAAAGGATGCACTGAGACATGTCTTAGTGGCTCCCTGTACTTACAAACCAAACACTTACCTCTTCAAGGATGTCCACCATTTTGCTGAGAATGTCCTCTTGTAGATCATGGAACGTAGGCACACTGTACGGAAAAGAAAAGAACGCATATGTTCAAATTGGCACATAGTATCTTTATCCATAATTCATTCTTTTGTGGCCTTGAAGACAGTGTTGAAAGCTCTGGGACAGCATATAATATGTGTGCATCAGGCTTGCTTTCAGATCAATAATAGATAGGCTTTTGTGAGTTATATTAAAGTATGCGCAGATGAAAATCTGTGGCTTTAAAGGGGAGGGGAAGGGAAGGGGAGTGTGGTTTCTCTGTGGATCAGATGGAGAGCTTTACACCCAATGGAGTTAACTGGCATTAGACAAACTTTATTGAACCACAAGGGAAATTATGGGGCACAGTAGCTCACACATCACATTATATTATAATAACAAAGGGTAAGAATCTGAATGTTAATAATAAATTCTAAATAAGTGGCAAAAATAGCAAGAGACTGGTGTAGAATAAGGCATAATTACATAAATGTACATGAACAAGTAAGTATAAAATATACAAATATAATAATACAAATATCTTAGCTATATTCAAGAGGTCGTAAGGACAGTTTATCTATTAGATAAGGGTGAGTTGTACAGTTGTATGGATAATGTTGAACCTTAAAATAAATGTTCGAAATTAATGTCATTAGAAAATATTGACAAAAAACAAGGTAGAGGCCGGTAACAGATAAATGGTAAAAGCCCACTCACAATCAGAATGTCTGTTTTTGAGCTATAAAATAACCTGTAATTAAATAAATGTAAGGTAGAGCTATTTAATGTCGTACTGTGGAAAATTCCTAGAATGAAAAAAGTACCCGCCTACTGTCGAGCGAACGAATCCTAATGCTGTGAGGTCAGACAGTTTCTACGAAGTGGTGCCGACTGATGAATCAAGCTAGAACATTCCAGGGAGAGCAATGACATATCTATAGAAACAATCAGGTGACGGACCCCCAACCAAAGTGCACCTGTTAAAGAAGGCTCGGCAGCGTCTCTTTCACAAGGAGTAAAAAGATCCTGCTGAACTTTTATCACCGCACCACTGAAAGCCTTCTGGTTGGCTCTATCACCGTGTGGTTTGGCACCATTACAGCCAAAAAGAGGCAAGCTTTAAAGGTGCACTGTGAGACTTTTCTGGTGGATGGTCCGTCAAATGCTTTTCTCCATGGAAATGTTATTGCTTGGTCTGGTTTGGTCTCCATGAAGATAGAAAAGCTTAATACTATACTGTGAAACATCACAGACAAAGTTACTGGTCAGATCTGTGGAGAGGCAGCTCACAATCAGAATACCCATTTTTCTATGTATTTTTGAGCTATAAAACCACCTATAATTGAATGAATGTCAGGTAGAGATGTTTATAATCATACTGTGGATCATTCCAGCCAGGGCTATGACATATCCATTGAAATAAGCAGATGATGGACCCCCAACCAAAACATAATCCTTTAAATAAGATGGTCTGCTCAGTCAAAAAAAACGTAAGTGTGATCTGCCTGTCCTCGAGGCTCTTTAATCTGAGCCCTTCAGATCATACACGACCCCTCTGGCCATCCTGACAGAGACATGTCTGAGCTTTTCCCCTCTGGAAGAACATATGGCTCCATTAAATGTAAAACCTCTCACCATGGTAACAGCTTCATCACACAAGCTGTTATAAGTTTGAACAATTCACTCTGAACTTTGATGTAGCACCTTGATATTTTAGCTCCTTAATCTTTGTATCTTGTTTATTTCACAGTGTCATATGTCGTCTGGAATGATTGTCTGTTGTTTGTTTATGTGGTTGTTTTGTAGGTGCACTGCATAACATTTCTAGTGGAGCTTCTGCCACTTGCTTGTCTCCATGGGAATGTTATTACTTTGTCTAGACATTCCATGGTATAAATTGTTTCTTTCTTGCTAGATAGGTTTAAACAATTCACAATTCAGATAATTCAGATCTATGGAGAGTTGCCTGAGAGTTGTTTTTGAGCAATAGAAACATCCGTAATGAGTAATTGCTACATTTACATCTACAGCTGTTTTTTTTTTTTAACACTTACAGTTTGTGCAAATCAGCCATGTGATTTTAAGTTTCGTTTGTGTAAAATGCAAACAAATGTGTGCAAAACTGCATTAAATACTTTATAATCTCAAACAGGCTGATGTGGCTCTATAGTGGTTATGGTTTATATGTTGTAAAGTTGAGTTTTTTTATGCAGAAGATTTTAATTAAGAATCTGCTGCAGTGTAGAACTTGTTCAATGGTGTTTGGAAATGTTGGGTTTGATCTGTGCAGTGGATTGAGGGATACCGCTGGTTAGGAACCTCCCAAGCTTCCTATGCTAAAGGAGCACTTGGTTGTTGTATTTTTCCTGGTTTATTAAATATAAAATTTTTGCACTTACGCATTTGTAAGATTATGTCAGGGAAACGGAATAGTGCATTTATAACCAGGATACTGATGTGCATGTAAAGAGAAGCAATGATGATACCTGCTAACACTATACTTAAACACTTAACAATTACTGAGATTAATAAAGTTAAAGCGCTGAATATTGATATCTGTGTCCCACCTTGCTGTCATTGTTCATAATTATTGTGAGAAATGATTAACGTGAGCAGTGTCTTCACATAAATGATTATCATTAATTATTGTTATTAATAATGTATAACTAAAAGCAAACTGAGCAAATCTATTATTTCAGAAGAGCATATTAAACTGGTAACCCTTCGTATGACTCAGTACCCATGAACTTTCAAAAAGGTTGGTGACCCTTGGTTTAAAGTCATACCATGGAAAATTCCAGGCAAAGCAGTGACATCTCCATGGAGACAAGTAAATGGCGGACCGTCCACTAGAAAAGTTGTATAGTGCACCTTTAATGCCTCATTGTGCACTTTAAGCATTTTGCACATGTTCCTTCAAAGTGTTTTCTTTTTTTTAAACTACAAATGGCAAATAAATTTACCTAACCTCACACTTCGATAACAAAATAAATAAATAAAATAAAATACTTGATTTCCACTTGTTTTCACCGCTGCGCCAACTGTGGCACTGAATCCACAATGAGCCTTGCTTGACAAAATAACTCTACGCCCTAAGCTCTGTGAATATCAGTGTATTAAATTTTTTCTCCTTGTTTAATTTAAAAGTCAAAATAACATGGCTTATTACATTTCTTTGTGTATGCATTCAGCTTATCACACTATATTAAACCCCAGCCTTTGTTAGACACAGTGCTACATATATTGATACAAACAGTGAGGTCCTGTGCTTTCCTGTAACCCGATCAGATGTGCAGGGGCTGTTTGTTCCGTTTGGCGCCTGGGTGAATTAGCGCTCTTATCAAGCCCACTAAATAAAAACTAGCCCAATGTTTATCAAGCAGCAGCGGGCACAACCAGCAATGGCAAACAAAGCTCTTATCATTTCTTACCATCCCCCCCTCCCCTCTCCTACTCATTTTCCACGCTTTATTACTGTAATCGGCACCATCTCACCCTCAACCTCCCCGCAATCCAAAATTTCGCCGGCCCGGGCTGGTTTGCTACACTTGCTACAAAACAAAAGCTGCGTAAGATCGAGCTCTAACGCTGTTGACATGGACAGAATCATTTCCTTTGTAATAATTCCTGCTTTCTTTTTGTATTGCAGAGGTTTAATTAGTTTTACAAGGCCAATGGGGGACTTAGCTTCGTATTAGCAATATTGTGTTTTAGCATTGTAATCTTTATGCTGCTATTGTGAGTCAAGTCTTAAGGCGCTGGGGGCGGAAGTTCATGTAGGAATGAAAAGAAATGATATTGAATGCCTTGGTATTTAAGTTCTGTTCATTATCATAATTATCTTTCTTTATACTTTCAGTAGAAAACATATGGGACTCTCAGAAAGGTTAAGATTAAGATTATTTAACGGATAAATATTATGCATTACACTCAGGCCTTTCATGCTCTTGAGTACCTTTACTTTGGCGTTCCAAGTTTTAGAACTTAAAATAGATAAGATAGCCCTTTATTTACACACCGTACTTTGCAATACTTCGCAAACTGTTTGCACTACTCTGTTAGAAGCAGTGTTGGGCACTTTACTTCAAAAAATGTATTATGTATGTAACGGTATCCAAGTCTCACGATACAATATTGTCACCGTATGAACCTCACTGTACGATATTTTATGAGATATCACAGGAAAGCTCATGATATGGTGGAGAGGCTCACAATTAGGATTAGGTATGTAACAATATCCAAATCTCTCGGTATGATATTTTCACGATATACATCTCACGGTACGATATTTATTGCAATATTTTATGGAGGCTAACAAAACTGTGAATACGCTACTTTTTCCTCTTAAAATGCCTTGACAAGACTTAATCCAAAGAACTAAGACTTAAAAGTGCTTAGAACTGTTATTTCTTCATGCAGTCTGCACTGAAAAGGATTATGGTCTATGATGTTCCCTCTTTCTTATTTTTGCTGCACCGTGACTCTTAATTTAAGCGACTTGTAATTCAATATATTGTGATGGTCCATGATATTATTGTGTGGGAACTCTGACAATATGATATCATGATATTTTGGTTATTGTTACATTCCTAGTTATGAGTTACCATTACAAATTACTTTCCCCTTAAAGAAAGTTAGTCAGTTACTATGCTGTAAAAGTAATTAATTACTCAGCAAAGTAATTATCCAGTTATTTTTCATGTTATGTACTATTGCCTGAAAAATCGAGTTTGTCTTTAATGCAGTGGCTCCGTCTCCATCTTGCTCACACTAACTGCACTGGGGCTCGAGGATGGATGACCAGCAACAAGAGGTGTGTTTGCATGTGACGATGTGAGGCGCTTCATTAGATTCGAGTTACTTGAGGCTGACGCGGCAGAATTTAATTTCCCATGGCACAGTTACACTTAACATACACATTCTTGCTGCTGTTGAATGTCCCTGGCTCGTCGTTGCCATTGTCACATTCTCATTTAGTTTGTCTCATTTAGCGAGAAGTGTGCAGGAAAGAAACAACAAGGCAGCGTAAGCAGAGACTCA